CCGATTGCGCTGAGCACCTTTTGAGCACTTTTTTGAGTTTGGGGCACTATTTTGCATTTTGAGCACCCTTAAGCACTTTTTCGCACTTTGGGCAACATTTGAGCAATATTTCACATTTCGAGCAAATTTCGAGCAACATATGTCTTCTAAAACATTTTAAAGCAAAAACTGTGTGTCCGTGGCAACGAGAATCGTGTTCCAGGTCATAAATTTGAATAACTAATGATGTAGTGGTCAAGAATAAAAGACAGTTGTCATGGATAGACACGTGGACTTATCCCAACTGAGTGTGAAAACAGAAGTTTCTGATTGGCTGATGTATCATGTGTGTGTCATCTCAAATTTCAAAATCATCTGATGTCTAGGCTTTACACTAGTAGTGCTGAATTCATTTACAATTCGTAACCGCTTTAGTTTTTTAAGAGCACAAGGGAAAACACTAAATCAGTCGGAAAACAATAGCACTGAAGACGAAGAAGTGAGTGATACAATTACAATAACAGTAAATGCTGGAGCATCCCTTAGTGCTCCAGAAAGTGCTTCGACAGCACGAAAGCGAAAAGTTCCGATCAACAAAGGGAAGGGTTAGGGGTAGGAGACCTTAATTTTTCACGCACGAGATTAATGTGTCGTGGATGTCCTCCCCGGGGTGGGATGGGTGGGAATTGATCCTGAAAAGCCCCCATGGGGAGTGGTCAACTAACGTATGTATGTATATGTATGTAAGAACAAGCAAAGAGGAAGCGTCAAAACCACCAATGTGAGTACACGGGATCGTCTCAAAGAGTACCCAAACCAACACTTTCCCGTGGTAAAAAAAAGCTTAGATGTAATGCCTGCAGCGAAGTTCTCAGTTATAAGAAAAGTTCTATTGAAAGACACACGAAATCAAAGAAACATGAGAAGGGTCTGGCTGATATTGAGAGAAACAAATCAGAACAGCAGTCCATCAAAGAATGCCTGCAGAAGAGGGCAAAAATCGACATATTTACGAAAAGCTTAGAGGTAACTGTTCACAACTTTTAGCACTTTTTGAGCACTATTTTGAGATTTTGAGCACTTGTTGAGCACTTTTTAGCCATTTTTGCCAGCACTTTTTTAGGATTTTACGAGCGCAATCGGGAAAGGCCTATCCACAAGTTGCTTGTCAATCACTTTTCTATAATTCCTGTGTCATGAAATGTCACTCTATTTCTAAAAAAATCGACCCCTTAAGAAAAGCAATCTAATTCCACTAACTGGGGGCAAGATCGAGAAGAACGTCATTGATCCTGTTTGGCAGAACCCCACATTACACATAAATTAAAATCTATTGCTCTTGTTCCTACACGAAATACCAAGATTTCATCTGCGTGGGATTGGGAAGTCTGCCTCACAAAAATCTTGCAATAGGCTTGAAGATGCTTCAGAAACCATATCATGTCACGTGTGTCGTGTCCTACGCTCGTGACAAGATGGAAAATATCTCGTCCATCTCATTTCTGAGTTTAAAATTCACCATCTTTCCTATTCTATTAGATCACAAGAGGCTTTCGACTTTGCTGGTTCTGAGAAGATGCGTGCCTTTTACCGGTGAACCTATGATAAAAAGTTATATGATCCAACTTGCTGTAGTGTCTTTGTACATGTGGCTTAGAGTGGAGCAGATAGACTAGGAGCGTGTAAATCCAATCTTTAGCAGCCTTAGTGCATTTGAAGATAATTTCCGAAATGTTAGGTTGTACTTTGGAATCTCAAACTGCCATAAATAGTAAATTTTTACCACCCTTGTTTTCCTCATTGACGTAAAGATCAAATGGGTCCTGGAGTATGCTTTTCCTTTAAGACGAAGAAATTACTGAGAAATACTCCTAAAGTTTCTTCAAAGCTGAAGTCAAGTGGAAAATTTCCTCCCTTTTGGACCAGATGAAAACATAATAATTGAAATCTCACCGGGATTGTTGTAATGTGGGCCGAGGTTATTTCTTGCTGGACTGATACCTTTCCTGACTTTACAGTAAAATCAAGCTAAACCAGCCACGATGTTGTCTCCTGAAGTGACCGGTGACTGCAATAGTCTAAAAGTTAAAAGACACTACACTTTCCTTAAACAATGAATAAATGATACATTTAGGCTCGATTTCTGCCGTTTTTCTTGCGTGCGGTCTTTGATCCTCTTGGTCGATCTCAGTAAGGTACGGGGGCCTCTTTCCTGAACAGCAGCCATTAATCGAGCTTTTCAAGAACTCTTAGGCCTACTATGAAGTCTACTGTGATCTACGTTAGTAATTGTTTAAAAACGTCTAAGCAGCATAATGATTTTTTCGTCATACCTCTCAACAGAGGAACATCTGAAGCGGAAAATTTCTCTTTAACTCGTAATGGGAGTGTATTTCCACTTGAAAATTCATCTGTCTTGCGGTCTCGTCACTGTTGCGGGACTCCATAGAAAGATAAAACATTGATATGGAAGCGGATCGACCAATCAGATGATGCATATTACATACAGTGTTATAAATTTCAGTATTTCAACGTCCTTTATTAGGAATCATACATATTCTACAGATACAAATCTAAAAACTGTGCACACCGATCTTCGAGTCTTAATTAGCGAAAGACGTAAATAGCGTGTTTTACGACATCAGAGACGAGCACATCACCATTTTGAGTGACAGCGACAGAGCAAGGCATTGATGACATGGATAGTACGTCACCAAAGTGGCTAACCACTTTTCCACCCAGCGTAAATACTTTAACACTACTCCACTTAATATCGCTCCGCGCAGCATCACATACTACTAGGTTGTTTAACTTGTCTATGGCTAGTCCTGCAGGAGAATCAAACTGTCCAAGATCGCGCAAATGCTTCCCCTGTCTGTCGAAAACCTTCACACAACGACCCATGCGATACGACACAAAATACTTTTTTTTATGGTAAACGGCAAACCACGGAAAAGCGTCAAAGTTTGCTAATCTAAATGACCTCAACAGTTTTGCTCCATCAGCGGAGAGGAGCTTGATATATAGGTCACCCGAATCGCACACGATTATTTTACCATCACTCCTAACAGAAACACTGCAGGGGTTAACCAAGTGTCCGCTGATATGTTTTACGAATGTTCCAGTTTCAGTATAAACGGAAACTTTGCTAATTTTATGAATTTCGCTCCATTTTGAGGACTCTTCGCAAACGACTAATAAATCGCAAACCTTTGAAAATGCAACGCATCGGGGTTTTTGTTTTGGGCTGAAATCCACCACAGTTCTTAGGTACCTGAAAGTAGCATCAAACAACAATACCTTGCCATTACCATAATTTGCCACTGCAATATTTGCAGTCTTTTCACTTTGGGCAATACTACACGGAAAATTAAAGTTCTCTTGTCCTCGCAAGTCAAACTTCTTCAGGGAAGCTTGGTAGTATTCATGCGGCACAATCTTAACTTTTCGGGTCAGCGGTATCCCGTTCACTTCAATCACCAGGTCATGATTACTATCGAGTTCTGGACAAATAACAGAAATGCTGTAATTTCCATCTTTAAAATTTTTTATTTCGTTTTCCTCTTCTAACTCGGATGGCGGGTAAATCAGCACAGTCACGTTGTCTTCTTCGTTGTAAACCTGATTTCCGTCTGAATCTCTTGTTGTTAATTTGAAAACCACTTCGCTACATGGTTTTACTACGTCCAAAACTTTGGGTTCACATCCTGCTAACGATAGTGCAGGATCGGTAAAACTCGCAATAAGTCGGCCTGGACCTGAGTTTTTCAGAATTACCTTATATTTTTCAAGTGTCTCATTTGCAACATAACTAAAATGAAGAGGTTGAAGGATCGTTGCTCGCGCAGCTTTCGAAATTTCTTCGAGCCGACTTGTGACGGTCAGTTCTGTTTGTATAATTTCAGAGGGTATGTTTCGATGTAGGATAGCATCTCCGTGTTCAACAAATCCATTGAGTTGGGAAACTGTTAACTGAAACTCTTTCGTTCGAATCGCATGATCTCTTTGCTGTGCTTCATTGATTCGAAATAATCTTGTCTTCACAGCAGCTTCATGTTCCCTTAAAATTCGGACAAGATCGTCCACGATAGTTGTGACTTTATCTTGTGCAGCAATCATTTCATCTGTGCTCTTCTTCATGAACTCAATTTGTCTATTCATTTTACTTTCCACAACAGCAATTTCCGCCTTTGCTTTGTCCACGGCTTTTGTAATTTGAACCTTTCTTTCTCCCGCTGCTTGTTGAATATCCACCACTGTGTGTTGATTATGACTTACGAACCCGCACTTCATACAGACACAAGTCTTGCAATCTTTGCAGAAGTATTCAAGCGATTCGTTTTCGTGATACTTTTCCGTACACATGACAGGTCGTTGAATCAATTCTTCAACATCTTGTGCTTGCAATTTCTCGATCAAAACATTTCGGTGACCTCTCGTAACCTTCAAGCGTTGATGCGCTTCAAAACAAGCTGCACAGAGAAAGCTTTGACAAACAAAACAATACGATGTTACAGCGCTGTTATCGTCACAGCTATTGCATGTCTGAATCTGAACGCCACCATCTTCTAGAGCTAAAATATCCAACAATCGATTGAGATGAAACGACGCGGGTAAATTAGAGAACGTATCACTTTTTGGAATGTTGAAGTCAGTCAGGCAAACCGGACATTTGATTTTCGTTTCTCTCCGTCTCCTTGCGTGTCCAACGTGTCTGTCAAGGCAGTGTAAACAGAACGAATGCAAACATGGAAGAGTTTTGGGTTCTCTTACTGCATCTAAGCACAATGGACATTCAGCTTCCTTCTTTAGATTACTAAACAATTGGTGAACATCCATGTCGAGGAATACTCGATGGGTGAAAACTAAGGATGGACCGATACCGATACTACACGTGACCTACTCGGCTTTGATCTCCCCCGACTAACCGCCGACAAGCAGCCGAAAAGACTCCGGGCTCGAGATCGTGCATGTGCGCAGTTGTTTGCAATGTAAGATTGCCGCAGTGTACCGGTCAAAGTGGCGGTTTCATGACCTCCATTACCTAGTGTAACATTTCCCTATGAAATAGAACCTGATTTATTAACTGTAAATGTAAAGTCACTTAATACAACGACAACAAAATCACAACTCACAACAATCCAGACATTACAAGGACATATTTGGAGTAACAAAATGAGTTGCAAACTACTATGCCTGCTCACTAAAGAAAAACCTCAAGCGAGAAAAGCACTGAGAAAGGTTAAAAAGTCCTAAAGTATGGCACCTCTGTATGGTCCTGTATGCCAGGGAGTTTCTGATGTATCGCCAGGATCGATAACGAGTCGGGCACCCGTGTTCGGTTATTATTAGTGACCCGTGCAGTGACTGATAACCTTTCATTGTACGTCTTATGATCATGAATGCAAGTGAAAGTTGCAGATTGCTTAATATAGTAAATAGAAAGATTGTATCATTTCGGTCTTCTCCATTTCCTCGGGAAAATTAAAAATGAGTCCCAATAAATTGACATTTTGGACTTGTTTGAGAACTGACAAGAAAACTTTGCGAGAGTGCAGTCAATCAGGTCACGCGACTTACTATTATTCGACGACGTCGCAGTATCGGTATCGATATCGATATCGAAGAAGAAAGTAAATATCGTACTCGGTATCGTAAGGATTCCAAAAAGCCGTATCGGCCTATCCTTAATGGAAACTACAGAATCGCTGATCACGTGAACACTATGGTTCTCTTGGGAGAGGAGTGGGCAGAGCCGCGTTGTTGGGAAACCGAGATGCGCGCAGGTTTAAAGAGCGGAAAATTAAAAATGACAGAAATTAATTAACAATGAGATTACAGATGAACTCGCGTTCCTGAGACTGAAATCAAGAAAGGGAGAGGTGTGCCCCGATTCTAGATCATCGAAGGCATTCAAAAATGAGGTAAAGGCTGAGGCAGAACCTGTCACTGCTTACGGAGGCGCATGTTGCTTAGTAGAAATTAAGAATTTTATCGAGATTAGCCTCAGTTAGGTATTTCTCTGAAAACGGTCTTCCTTTCGGGACATTTTGTGAAGAACAGAGAAGTATGCTCCAGAAACCATATTTATCTCCACCATCAAAAATCATAATTAACCATTAAAAACATTTTATTTTGACATTTAAACGGATATCCTAGCCGCTCGAAAGTTGTACTCAAATCTGCTGAAACTATTGTTATATATGCCGCCAATTTGAAAACGACTCAGTAACCTGGCCGCGAACGCAAAACGACATATCATAGTTTGTAAACAGCCGCTGCTCTAGCTATCGCAAGCAATTGCTATTTGAATCAAGAATTTATTTTCTGTTTCTTAGAGAAGAAAAAGAGAGGAGTGACTCTTTGGTGCGACACAAGTAAGCAACCAGGTTGTTAAGCAGGATTCAAAATGGCAGCGCCCGATGTGGAATTTTACGCAAAAAAGCGGGTTTTACTCCTTGGAATCAGCTTAAAACGCGGTCAATGATAGAATTTAATGTAAAATTCTTATTGACTAATTTAAAAAGGGTATGGTTTCTAAAGCATACTTCTGTCGTTTGGTTAAACTCTGTCCAACGAGTTCACGACTAGTTCAAGTAAATAAAGTGTGCAGTCTTCTAGTAACAAAGTCAAGAGACACCACGCTTTCAGATGAATGATATATTTAAATTCAAAGATGTATACGCCAGCTGATTAATTTAACAAGTTTACTCTTTACTTCTTTCCAATTATTTATAAATATAGCGATTCCGATGGCTGTTTTGATAGTATCTCTAATGGCAAGCTAGCAAGAGAGTCGTGTGTTCGTGAGTTCACCTAGCCTGAAATCAAGAAAAATAGGTAGATAGATAAAAGATGACAAAATCAATCGAATAAATCGGAAGCGAATGAGATAGGTACATAGAAAATATGATTATTCAAAACAAGCTGTGATCGGCGAAAAGAACAACAATCAAAACCAATGCTTTTAAACGGCCAGTTCAAGGTAGAAAATTATCGATAGAATTTTATCGATTTTATAGCTAACGCAATTTTTAAAGCGATACAAAGTTATAAATTTCTGAACACTTACAATAACTGCAAGAGTATCTGCAATTTTTCCACATCTCCTCCACTTTTGTTTCACACGCATCTGCCATCACTATGTCGTAAAAACAGTGGTATCTGTCTTGTTCGTCGACGCAAGGTAGGTCAGTGGGTTGTTCGACGGCTGTAACAAAATAAAGCCGTTTTAGAGAGAAATTTTTAATTGCTTGTAGAAAGTAATTTTGGATTACTTTTGATTTGATTCGATGAGCTCTGCGATTGGTTTCAGGAAAAACTCACGCCAAGTCATCAAACAACCGGTCAGTGAAACTACCATTTTGAGCCCAGCTCGTGCTAGGCTCTTTGTCCGCGACGACGCGAGCAGTGCGCTTGAGTAAAGCACTCCAGACTGGCCCACAGAAGCCAATCTGCTATCACCGATCCAGCTCAGAACCCATTTTAAAAGTGCCTGAAGAAAGATCTCACTTTTTTGACAAGGGGTCACTTGCTTTTCAGAGGCTCGCCAATACTGAGACAAATGTGATCACTTTCTTGTCCCTTATCTTTCTATATTTGGATAGATGGTCCTGCCAATGACAAAATCATATTAATTTATCTTTTTTAATCAGAATCATCTGAGATTGTCTGTTATAAATTCCCTGTCTTGTTGGCTTCCTCAGACTACATTGTCTGGCTTCTTCGCACTCTTCAGTTTTTTCTTTTCTTGAGCATGCGTTTGTGAGGTAAAACTTATAAGATAAACTAGAAGCGCTAAAAAACGTTTGGAAAACCGTGCATTTATCCAAATACTTTGTTGCTAGCACTTATATACATGCGAAGCTCACTAGTTTCTAGTTTGAGCACTCTGGCATGGCTTAAATGGTACCACAAATGTGGAATCATTTGGGCTGGCTTTATAGCTTCATCCCTATCCCAGAATTAGCACTACACTGACGAGGCCCAGAAGGCGAAACAGTACAGTACTGTCTGCAGTTAGATATAGCTCCTCGGCATTTCAAAGCTTTGCTTTTAAGTCTAAATCGAGCACTCTACTAGGATGAGTCCTGTCGTGCAATTGTGCGAAGCTCACTAGTTTCTAGTTTGAGCACTCATGCCAGAGTATATACATGCGAAGTATGTATATACTCTGCGAAGCATTGATATACACTCATGCCAGAGTGCTCAAACTAGAAACTAGTGAGCTTCGCACAATTGCACGACATGACTCATCCTAGTAGATATATCTAGTAGATATATATATATATATATATATATATATATAAACATTCATGTACCTACCATGTTTATCTTGATCGGAGGACACACTCCGCGATTGCAATGGGGACTTTCCGTTCGCTGGTATCTTTTTAAATATCTTCGGGTATCCAAAAGAAAATCTTACAGATGAGAGCAAAGTTACTACCAAGAGCAACAAAACTAATGTCGAAGCTTTCATCATGACACAGTTGGATGAATGACAACAGCTCTGTTCAAATTAGTAGAGTGCGCCTACGGATGAAAACACTGAGTTATTGAAGTTATGTACGGGGGTGTCAAAGGTAATAAAACCTAGCTACTTAAGAATCACCACGAAACCGCATACTACACAGGAAATTTATATTAACACCGAAATAAGTATTCACTTTTCAGCCAGCTGTTGTTCGATGCGATAAACTGATGTAGATATAAACTTTATGTTTTTTTTAGAGCAATTTCACTCTGCCGTTTCTCTGATGTTAAGAGTTTCATTGGCTTGAAATTTTCAGTGCGAATCTTTTGGACCTGGAGCCCGTCTATAATTCTGTGAAAGTTATTGTGTCAAAACTGAGCTGTTTTTTTTTTTTTTTTGGTCTGGCGTGTTTACATTTAATATAGAAAAATCGACAGTTTTGAAATTTAAACTGTGACAAAGATAACAACAGGAAATAAAACTGAATGGACTAGCTCTTTAGCTAGGAAGCGCACTACTGTTCGTTAAGTTACTTGTACTTTCGAGAAACAGCCCCCAGATTTTTTTTTTATTACACGTATTGATAAAGCCGAATAGTCATTCTTTCTCGGTTCGTTGCGCGAGTCAAAAGAAATCCGTGAAAAATTTTATGCGTACGTTTCGCAAACGGTCCTAATTCAGTTGACTGAAACCTCAGTTGTTCGTGTGCCTAAAATTGCAGTTTTTGGGTTTAGAATAAGAAAACAGTTTATAATTTCTTGGTTTAGAAACAGTATAAGAAGACTTTGCAAACTGATAAGACGCAGTTTGAGTAAGACCCTTTAGTAACTGACTATTTTTATAAACTGTAGCTGTATCTTTAATACCTTAAGTTAGGTTAATGTAACGGTTTTTCTTGTTGTTATTCAATAACGTCTCTTTCCCTTCTACTTTACAAGTTATTTCTGTTTTAATATATTTTTGCAATTCGGCCATTAAGGAACGGCCCGCCTAGATCACCCTTTACTAGTTGTAGGCATGCCCTTTTCTGTAAAATATAATAGGAAATTAATAAAGTGTGTGTGTGTGTGTGTGTGTGTGTGTGTGTGTGTGTGTGTGTGTGTGTGTGTGTAGTAATCTTTGGAATTAAAAAATAAAGTCTTCCATATAATTTCTTACCCGTTAAAACTTTTGTAAGCGAAAGTAACTGGATATTTCATTTGTTCAAGGGTAAAGAAAATTTATTCTCTTCATTATTCCAGTCATCCAGTTAGTACATATTTTTACGTTATTGGAGAAAAATAGCGGAAAAAGTATGACAAGTTTGTCAAAATAGCACTTTTATATTTACCCCGTTTCACTCCACTAAAATAAGAATATAAAAGCCGCGGCAGGACTGTTATGACAAAACATCGCCAGCTGTTCTCAGTTGGTGTTAGACAGATTAAAATAATTGCTATTGCTTAGGAAAACTAAATTAAAGAAGTTCTAATCACTGTGATGTTTGCATTTCCAGCAAGGTTCCATTTGCATTGTTTTACGGCATACGTTTGCTGCTATAAATGGAACATCCCTGATAACTAGGATACCTCACACGATCCAAGATGGCGGCATTTGGGGAAATAGACAGTCAAAGACTGCATGTGGCTACTGGTGTAGCACATTTTTTTTAGCATTGAAAAGAAACTAGAGCTTGTGCGATGAAACTAGAAGGTAGTGTTGCAGAATATTTGTCTACATGCAAACAGAAAACCTGCCGCTTTGTGCCAGTTTTGGCCTGGACATTTCCTATTGACCGTAAGAAATAACCATGAAGTTTCATCAGAGCTTGCTTGAATCTGGGAGCCCTTTATATCCCGTGACAACATAGATGTTATTTCTAAAACAAACAAAACAATAGAGTATATGTTCGCGGGCGTAGACATGTTTTGAGCTCTACTCGGAGTCATTTTGTCCCGAGCTGCCAGGCGAGGGCTAAAATGGGTCTGTTTAGGGCCCAAAAAATATATATGCCCAAGAACATAAAATGTTTTACTGTTTTTATCAAATTGGAGAGCAATAGGAAAATAAAAACTGAAAATATGACAACAGGCTGAACAATCACGCGAACACGCGAATGGAATAAGATACATTTTAGTTAATACTTACATAGCGCTTTCTACATATGAATATGATCCAATCCTTCCGAAACTCCATTTTAGCTCACAAAATGCGCTACAATGTCCGATAAAGTGAGGACGATTTGTAATTATTATACTCAGTGCGTAGATTAATTAACAAATGGTAAACACCACAGCGCACACTACTGAGTTATGGATGCACGCGGGAGGTTGCTAAGCACGAAAGAAGCGTAAGAGTCGTTCGAGGCGATAGCCGAGAGCGACTCTAGCTTCTTGAGTGCTTAGCAAACCTCCCAAGTGCATCCATAACTCAATAGTGTACGCTGTGGTGTTTACCATTTGTTTTATAACATATCATTGATACATTGTAGCTAAAGAGTTCCCTTTTATTTAACAAATCTTACGCGACCAGAAAAAAACAAGCGCGCGCGGAAAAATAGTCTTTGCATTTGCTCACGTCAGCAGCGTACACCCATGGGCAAATGGGGGGACGCTAAATTGACCAATCAGAGCGCGCGCTTTACTTTGGTTATGTTATAAAACACTTTTGATGAATCACGATAAGTAACGCAGAATCAAAAAGAAAAGGTTCGTTGTGCGATCCATTGAATAGCCAAAGGGAATGGATTTTTTTCATACCTACTCACCAATGACCCAAATGACTGGGGTTTATCCGGCGAAAAATCTTAACGCACACCGCTCAATACCGCCAGCCAAGGTAATGAAATATTGTCAGAGCACCGACTAAAAGAGATCACCAGGGCAGTTGTCAGAGCATATTTAGCCTGAGAGACTCCGGATGTTTAACCCCCTTAGTGTTATAATTTTGGAGGCGGATTATTTCGACACCCAAGTGAATTTTTGATCAGGAAACCCTAACCAACGCAAACAATTTTTACCGAATAAAAGTGCTAAAACGTGATCAAATCGTGGAAATGCTTAGGGTGTGGTCGAACTTTGATAATTTAAATGTTAAATCAGAGGAGGGCGGCGTGGCAGGAACGGAGGCTTCCTCACGATTAGCTACGAGGCATTCTGTCAGTTACTTGCAAAGAATATTTGTTTTCAATCGTTTTTCTTGTTAACATAGTCTTCTCGTCCGTCTCATAAGTCAAACGAGACAAGCATGTGCCAGAATAATATGAATCATTGTATGGAGGCACTCCGGGGGGATTGTCCCGCTAAGAACCGGACATCCTTTCTGATTTCGCCATTTTAGGTGTTAACGGAAGTGAAACTTGAGATAGATACCGTGTTTTTTTTTTAAGCGAATACAAGGCAGTAGATACAAAGTATATGAATACATCTTGTTTTGACACTATGCTTGCAAAACAAGCGCAGACGTCTCCTCTATTTCTGTCTTAATCGAAGTAAACGACAACACAATTTATTTCGATAGGATTGTACCAGAAGTTTCTGGTAACGCTAGCATCCTACGTGCAGTAGGACACGAGTTGGAAAGGACTCAAGAAGTCGACCCTTGTTGACAAAAGCTAGCTTGTTCTAGGCATTCGATCACAAGAAGCACGATAATAAACGGCGCGTAGAGGAGTGAAAAACCAGGGAGGTTTGACCCCAAAACCTCTAGCTTACGTGTAGCTGTACCCTCCCCCCTCCCATTTCTCCTTAGGGGGGAGGGTACGAACGCCGAGAACAGGTTCTGAGCTGGTCCTCCTTGAGGCTCAGAATATGCGTTGCTCGTTTTGTTTGTTTGTATTTGCGCTGATTTTTCTTGACTCACACGACCACACGACGGACTTGACCAAAAGGAAAGTTGTGCTCGTAGTCGGATTAACCTGTGACGCATTTAAGTTTACTTCCTCTTCGAGTGTGAGCTCGTAGCCCGATGTACAATTAATCAAATTGTAAAAAAAGAAAACTGAGGTAAAATATTTCTTGCCGATAAACATCAACTTCCAAAGGCATGAATTTTAACCATCAATCCTCAAAGCTATATCCTCAGCAAATGACACTCTTACAAGAAGAGCGATCGATAAGATTTTTTTTTTGCCTTTTCAATAAATGCTAAATTTTAACTGCTTACAGTTCCAAGATGTTTTAGCAGGGGCAGTGCTCTAGATAACCAGAAGTAATAAAGCGATACATTAATGATACTGACAAACCTTGAATACAACGCCTATCTTCTCTGCTCGTCTACGAATCTTTTTTTACCAAGCTTGACACTATCCAAGTGAAGGAGGCCACTGCAATGAGGATCCCTGTAAAAAAGCCACCTATTTATCGTCCTTCAGAGGTGTGTGGCCGGAAACATAGGCCAGAGACAAGTGACCTGTTATCGTGTCTGATCATTTCATTATAGGGCTTGTTAGTACTAACTTAATTCCGCGGTTTTGTTGAGGATAAGAAAAAACACCGGCCTAATTTTTATAGTTTTACATAATTGCCCCATATCGTCCAAGTCAGGTGTTTCCCTCGACGGAAAAAATATTGAACTGAAAGAAAGAAGTGAGCAAATTTCCGCTCTCGCTCTGAAACACCAGCTTTACGGTGGCTTACTTACACTATCAACTCAATTGATAAAACGAGATTATCTTGTAATACATACATCCCCCCTCCCCCACCACCGACGCGGCATCGCTGTTTATTTAAAAACCCACCTCTTGTAGGCGAATAAGTTCACAATAGGGCCTTCGATTCTCAGTAAATCAAGCTACTTTTCCAGTAACACTGCATCACAGTTTCTTTAAAAAAAAAATTCCCATTACTAGGCCTGTAGAACAAAATTTGCAAATGATTGAGGAAAATAATATGAGTGCTAAAAAAGGCGATAAGAGAAAAAAAAAAAAAAAAAAAAAACCCGGTGGGCCGGTTGTCTTTGCTAAACATTTTAAATGATAATAGACGTCTCAAGGTAAGGCAAAAAGGCGAACATATCCCGAACTATAGGGTGCTAAAAACATTTTGGAACATCGAACCGTTTAATAAAGTAGTTGGGTCTTTTGGAAGAGTCATATCTTTGGAAACCCAAGGGAGGCGCCATTCATTTGATGTTGTGTTTTTGCGATTACTGCAGAACAAGATTACTTTTACAGGTTAACGTCCTCTTGAGAGGCAAATGCTCCCTGGCCTTAATTTGCTTGTAATATCTTAAAACCGTTGTCGTCTTGAGCTAGTTCAATAGCTAAGTATCCATGTCTTTGTTTGCGCCTGCAGGTGTACTCTTCAAATTCCATCTGAACAGAATTAGTGAGCAACTAATTGCAAAATTAAATATTATAGAGTAAAAGAATTGTTGTACTCTGCATCTTGTTGACAAAGTTAAACGGAAAACTGCAAGGATAGAGTAGGAAGAAAAATAAATGGAATTTCGCCACAATGTTTTTGTAATCAAACCCTCATTTCTAAACGATGCGAGTTTTATGACCACCAGACTCCAGTGGACCCCAAGCACTGTACGTTGTTGAAGTTAGTTCTTCCGTTCGTGGGCATGAATTCATATGATAAAACGTTCTTTAAACATTCAAAAACTGTGGAAAATTGTGAAATCTTTGCAAATGGTAAATTGAATTTAGAAGGTTAATAATAATTGTGGTGGAAAAGAGAAAAAATGAACCGGAATGAATGAATGGACAAACGGAAATTTTAATTCTACTTGAGATGGCCTCTGAGGGAAGCATTCTGTAAATACACCGTAAGATCACGAGCCACGGCCACGTCATTTTTATTTTTCACCCATACCAAAGGCAGAATTTTCGAACAGATAGGATATTTTGAAAACCTTAGTGAGCCGTGGATTGGCTGTGCTGCTTCACTGGAATTGTCTTACTGATTCAATGGACGAATGGTAAAGGGCCACCTTTTGTGAACTGAGCTTTACTGAGCTTTACTGAGCTATAAAAAATAAAGGATGTTGCAAATCAAGCGATTATACAGTGCAGGGGGCCCAGGGTCCCTCAGTCGGCGTGTCATTTGAGTAGCCTTGAATAAATTTGCTTTATGCTCTAAAACAAATAACAACCGGTCTTTTCGAAACTACCAGCTGAATAGAAAGAGAAGATTGGCCCTGAATTCATTCTTGTTAGAGAAAGAAAGGAGAAAGATGTTTCTTGATGACAATGTATTCGGCAGACGATATGAAAGCGAATAATCATATCAATCAACATCAAAATATTGTAAACGATATCGGGTTTCAGCGACAAGAACATGTCATTACGAGAAGTCGACGAAACAGCGCATCTCGTGCTTAACTCTTCCCCTGACGATATCGGCGATCGAATGGCGGCTGGTAGCATTAAAGTTTACAAACGAAGATGGTACATTTTAATCATTTTTACGCTGCTAAACACCACAGGAAATATTCTGTGGAATACTTGGCCGCCGATTCAAGAGACGTGCCAACTTGTGCTCGGATGGAATAAAACAAACGTGTTGATAATCGGTGCTCTACAAGCGCTCGGATCTATTATCAGCATTGTGCCATCCGCATGGCTTTTGGACACGAAAGGTAAGCTTTGTGCTTTATTTTACTGCTCCTAATTTAACGTGGTGCGAGAATTGACCGCTTTGTAGGGTTCAAAATGGCAATCGATCGATCGACGGAGATTGAATTTCGTATAAATTTCCGGTTTCTGTTTCAATAAATAGTGTAATCAATCATCCAAAATGCTATTGGACAGAGGGCCTTTTCCTCGATGAATACAAAATGTCAGAGTTCTCACTGTGCTTAATATGGCTGGTTTCATTGCTGACCATCAAACTCTTCTAAAAAGTTGTGCCCAAGGTCACGGAATTCGTACTATAGCGTCTTAACAACATTTTTTTCGTGAAGGTGTAGTCTGATCGTCCGGGTGAGTGTAGTCCTGAGAAGGACTGTTGTCGGTGGCAGTGACTGACGTTTCGACAACCTGTGCGGAAGTCATCATCAGAG